GCCGCTGCTCTGCGTGTCGGTGGTAGGGCGTGTCAGAGTCTGACGGCGGCTCTCGAGTGGTGACGGTGGCGGGCGGCGTGGTGGCTGGTGGCTGGTGCTCGCTGGCTGGCGGGCTTGCTCCTGCCCCTCCTCGCCTGCCGCGCTGCCCGCCGTTGCGCCGTCTGCACGCCATTCGAGACGATGGTGTGCCTACCTCTTCTCTCTGATCTCTCTCTCTCCGTGTCACCGGCGCCGCCCCGTCGCGGCGTGGGATCCGGCAAGGCCAGGCCGTCCCGTGGGACAAGATAGAGAGTCGGCGCCACCCTCCGAGATCGCGCGCGCCGCTAAGCTAGAGGGGTGCCAGCCGGCCAGGCTAGGCTGGTTGCGTGACCGACAAACCGGTTGAGACCCTTTCTGGTGCAAAACAGGCAGGCAGGCAGTCAGGCAGCCAGCCAGCCCAAAGGGGGTCAGACCAGCAGAGAGAAAAAAACACCGACCAGCCAGCAGGCGAGGCAAGGCGAGGCGGGGCGAAGAGAGGCGAATCAGAGGCGAAATAGGCAGAGGCAGGCTAGGGGGAAAGTCACGTCGAGGGCCAGAGAGGTCCGACGCCCTTTGGCTGCCTCGCCTGCCTTCGGTAGCGCCTGGGCCTGGCCCGCGCGCTTGCTGTGGTTTGCTGCTGCCCGGCTGCACGTCTGCGTTGGCCTGCGTGTGGGTGCGGGTGTGGATGGGCCTGGCTGGCTGCGTGCTGAACCCCCCTGCCTGCGCTTGGCTGCCAGCCCAGCCTGCCCGGCTCTCTTCTGTCGAGGCAGGCCAGGCGAGGCCGATGCAGCGTCGCTTCGTTGGCCAGCCGCCGCCGCCGCCGCCGCTGCTCGTCAGTCGACCCGACTCGGCTTGGCTGCTGCCCATCCTCTCTTCCGTCCGCTGTCGGCCCCCCTCCCGTCCTATCCTTCCAGTCGACCCCGGTCGTCACCCCCAATAGTCGTCTGCCAACACCGACACCACCCACCACCGCCACGTCTACCGGCAACGACTCGCCAACGTCACCTAGCGCTACCAGAACCTCAAACCACGTCGCCTTCTTTGCACCTCTCGCCACTACTGGCTCCTCACCATCACGCCGCCCGGTCCGCCGCCACGACGCATCGCCGACTGGGTTCCTGGGCCTCTGCTCACTTCATGCCTTGACGCGGAGATCCTACGACCCCGACAATTCCCCTCCTTGCCTGGCCTACTCGAGCTTCGCACCTAGCTGGCTCGTCCGCCTGTCCGCCTGCCTGCTTGCTGCTTCTCTATCCCCACCGACACGCTTCGGTCGTTGACAAGCACCTATCACCTCCTCGCCGCACAAAAGTCTCCGCGACGTCCGTCCCCACCGTCATCTCCCCGCTGCCTTTCCAGCGCGCTTCCAACCTTCCTCGCGGACACTCCCGGCCTCTGTTCCACCCACCGGCGGCCTCGAGTCGTCTTTGTACGACCTCACCTCTCCGCCACCCACCCAACCTTCCTCGCCCACAGCCACACTACGATGCTTTCGCTGTGACCCCACCGACCTCCTCCAGCACACGTTCTCCGGTCTCTGTTTTGGCCTTTTCATCCCGCATCTGCTCCCTCGACAACCGATCGGACATGCACGCGCCCGCCTCGATCGTTCGATAGTATCGTCTCTGTCACCAACCTTCATTGCCGCTAACCGGCCTCACGCCTTCTCCGAGCTCATCCGCTCGGCTCGGCTCATTTGCCATCTTGCGTCGGCGGGACCACCTGCAACGAGCATACTCGTCACCTTCATCCTCGCTGCACCCCTCCGCACCGCACGACTCGCGATCCGATCAGGCGTGCACAGGCTGTTGAAAAGGCACGGTCTGCGATCCTGGTCCCCGCTTGCTCCCCCGTCGTCGCCTTTGCCGTCGCCGTCGCCGTCGCCTTCGCCATCGCTTCGCCTTCACCATCGCCAGCTGCTGCTGCGCCCCTCCTAACACGTCGAGCCGTCCCTCGATGCCTGTCGAGGCCCGCACTCATCCTTCGACTCAGCTCCGACAGATCAGCAGCTCGTTTGCTCCCGCAGCCCCTCCAAAGGACGTCTGCTGAACGCGCACGAGCCTCAGAGCGTCCTTCTTTGGCAACACAAAAGGACGGAGCGAGGAGAGTGCGAAGCTTGCCCGTCCCCCGTCGACCATGGCAGGTCACGACCTTGCAACCACGACGGCGTCGCTGACGCCCGGAGAATCCATCGAGGGGCGGCTGCTGTTCGACACGATGCTGGAAGTCGAGCCAAAGCAGCAGCTCGGCCATCAGCTGTACAGCGCGCTGGCGCTGCCCGCCGGCACCAAGGACCTCGCACACCCGATCTGGTCGAGGCCGGCGCTCGAAGGCGGCAGCGTCGACTCGGAGCATGCCTTCCCTGCAGCCGATGCTGCCGGCCTCAATGGCGGGGTCGCTCGTCACTCGGTCTCTTCGCGGCTGCGACCGGGATCCCACGCTGTCCCGTCGCTCGCCGGCAGCCGGGTGTCGTCCAACTCGGCGTCGAGCCCAACGTCGGGCCTGTCGAGCCCGATCGCCGGCTCCTTTGACGTTCACCACTACAGCCAGCAGCTCCACCAGCAACTCAAGCAACAACAGCAGCAGCACCAACAGCAGCAACAGCAGCATCTGGATCAGAAGCGAGCCCCTTCGCCGACCCACAGCTCGAGCGAAGGCGGTGCGGGGAGCAGCCGTGCAGTCTCTGGGACTCAGTCGCACGCCATCACTCCGCCAGACTCGGGCCGCTCGACGCCAAGCGTACCCAACTCGCTCCAGTCGTTACCGCGCAACCAGGTCCTAGAGACCCACAAGCTCTCCCTCAACACGCATCTGCCGACGGGTAAGCGCATGCTCAACCAGTACATCATGTGAGTGCTCGCCGGTCCCCCTCTTGAACCCTGCGTGTCGTTGGTACCCGCTTGCGCTCTCCGCGGCCACACGGCATGCTGACATGTACTCGGGCCCTTTGCGTCCGCTTCTGTCCTCGACCTGCACAGCGAGGGCGAGCTGGGTCGTGGCGTCCACGGCAAGGTTCGGCTGGCGCGCGACACCGAGACCAACGAAAAGGTCGCCGTCAAGATCGTCGAGCGCGAGAGCCGCAAACGCCTCGGTGCCGGGCTCGGCATGCTCGGGCGGCGTGACCGCTTCCGCAGCGACAGCGCCAAGAGCCGCGAGGCCCTGGTGTCGTCGGCGCTCGAGCCTGCATTCGCCCCGACTGCAAACGCGTCGGCGACCAAGGGCAAAGGCAAGCGGACGCCCAACGCGCACGAGCCCGCGGACCAGCACTACTTCGGCCAGCTCGCAGCGGATGGCGAAGGACCAACGGAGATGGCAGACCCGCACAGCGACGGTCCGATCGCCTCGTCGCCGTCGGCCCGCTTTGCGCCGCTGCCGACACCGGCTCGGTCGCCGTCGGCCGTGCCTCGATACGGCAGATGGGGCGACCGTGGCCCCTCGCGCCCGACTTTCGCCGACAAGGAGCTCGAGCGGCAGCGAGAAAAAGAACGCGAGAAGGCCAAAAAGTCGCTACTGTGGACCACCGATCAAAAGGTGCGCCGGGAGATCGCCATCATGAAAAAGTGCAGCCACCAGAACGTGGTTCAGCTCAAGGAGGTGATCGACGACCCGCAGAGCAAGAAGATCTTCATGGTGCTCGAGTACATGGAGGGCGGCGAGATTGTCTGGAAGGAGGAGGCGGGCCGGCCGACGCTGACCGTCGACGAGTGCCGGCGCACGCTGCGCGACGTCGTCTGCGGCCTCGAGTACCTCCACTACCAGGGCATCATCCACCGCGACATCAAGCCGGCCAACCTGCTGCTCGACCGCGAGCGGCGCGTCAAGATCTCCGACTTTGGTGTGTCCCACTTCAGCTACGCCATGATGCTGGCCAACGAGCAGGCCGACGTCATCGCCAGCGGGCTTGCAGGTGGGCCGTCTGCCACTCCGAACCTGTCCGACGACCACGAGCTGGCAAAGACGGCGGGCAGCCCGGCGTTTTTCGCACCGGAGCTCTGCACGGCGGGCGACTCGTCGATCGCCGGTACGCCCGCCGAGGGCGGCAGCGGCGAAAGCTCTCCTGGGCAGCTCGGCCGGGCGAGGAGGCCGCCAATCACCAAGGCGATCGACGTCTGGGCGCTCGGCGTCACGCTCTACTGCCTCCTTTTTGGCCATACGCCCTTCACGGCGGAGAGCGAGTTTGCCCTCTTCGCCGTGATCCCGACCACCGATTACGCCATCCCCACGTTTGCCGGCGCAGACCGCCTGCGGATCGGGCCGCGGAAGCCGCGGTGGAAGTCGGCGTGCCAGTGGATGGACGAGGAGTCGGATGCCCAGCCCGAGACGCCCACCGACCTGGTGCCCGACGTGCGGGTCGAGGATCTGTCCGAGGACGCCCGCCAGCTGCTCGACCTGCTCGACCGGTTGTTGGACAAGGATCCGACCCGGCGCATCAAGCTGGAAGAGGTCAAGCAGCATCCCTGGATCACCCGCGGCCTCGAAGATGCGCCTGCCTGGCTCTCCGAGACCGACCCGCACCAGCATCCGTTTGTCGAGATCACTCACGCCGATGTCGAAGGCGCCCTGACCGGCTTCTCCAAGTTTAAGCAAAAGGTCAAGCGCTGGCAGTCCAAGATCTTCGAGTCGCTAGGTGGAGGCCACCGCAAGCGCAGCCACACGGTCTCCCACGCCGCCAGCGGCGACGAGAATCACGATGGGCTCAGCAACGCCTCCAACTCGCCTGTCATTGGAGCGGGTCCCCTGCACCTACCGGGTGGCGGTTGCGACGGCGACGGCGATTCAGCCTCACACCGGACGAGCCGCGCCCACGGATCCTCGGCGCCCTCGACGACAGCGATGCGAACGCCTCGCACGCCGCTACTCGGCAGGCCGCACTACTTCTTCTCGCGGAGGCAGAGTGCCCAGTCGATCGGCAAAACGGCCGTGTCGCACTCGATGACGCCGATGACCAGCACAGGTGCGGGCAGCGTGGCCAGCAGCAACCGCGAGGCCGCTCCCACGTCGCAACACACCTCGCCCTTGAAGGGTGCGGCGAGGGCCCACTGCCCAAGCGTGCCTAGCAGCCGGCCCACCTCGCCACGACAAGCGACGGCGCCGGCGCATGCTCTGGGCGCCGCAGAGCCTCGCCATCCCAGCCAGCTTGTCCCTCCCACCGTTCAGCGTCGATCCTCAAGCCGGTCGACGACGACGTCGAAATTGCACCCATCAAACGCCGAGACATCGCCTTCGCTGGTCGCAGCGGCAGATCCGCCCTCGAGAAGGTCATCGGACACGCACAGCAAGCTCTCTGCAGCCGAGGCGAGCCTTCACGCCGTCGTCCAGCAGCACCAGCAGCACCAGCACCAGCACCAGCACGGACCTGCGGTAGCAGGGTCGGGCCCTTCCGAGGGTCCCGGTTCCGGCAGCGTGCGCCTGCAGTCGCCCGAGATGGATAGCACCTCGCACTGCGAGAGCTTGGCGGCGCCATCGAGCCAGGACTGCCACGCACCGGTCCGGCAGAGGGTCTCGATCGACTCGGTGGGCCGGTCGTCGATGGCCAGCGTCTCGCAAACGTCCAAGGCATCTCACCGGCATCGGCTGGGCGAATTTCTGCGGGGATCCTGGCTGCACCATGGCGAGGCAGTCCGGCGCAGCCGTTCGAGGCCCGACACGATGAGCTCACGCGGAGCCGCCTCGCCCGTCCTCAGCAGCAGCAACGGCCACCAGTCTCATGGCCATCAGCAGCAGCAGCAGTGGCAGCACCACCTTGGGTCTGCACAACCGCCAGCAGCAACGAAGCTTGCCACGCCAGAGCTTCGCATCGATGCGGCCGGTGCAGCGGAGCAGCTTGGACCGCGACAAGAGGCCGGAATGCCGACCAGCGCACCACTCCTGTCTGGCAGGCGGTCGTCGATGGGAGGCGCCTCGATGTCGCCAGACCTCTCGTCCGACTGCCTCGTCAACGGCCGCTTCGCTCCCTTTGCTGCCATGAGCCAACCGACGTCACCGCCGATGGGATCCAACACGCTGCCCTTTGGCGGCTGCGGAGCGCAGCTCGGACGCGTTTCCTCGACCGACAGGCGGCCGATGGTCGACCTCGGCCACGACGACGTCGATCTCGACCTGGATCTGTCCGACGACGACGACGACGACGACTTTGCCGGCGAGGACGATGACGACGACCCGCGGCCGTCGGGCATTGCTCTGGCCTCCAACGACGGCACCGGCTGGAAGTTCCGGCACGATGTCGCCTACCTGCCCGAGATCATGCAGCAGGTGCGGTCCGACGTGGGCTCTCAGGAGCTGCTGACGCCGTCGGTCGAGGGCGGCTACAATGTGACCAAGCCACCGTACCGTCACCTGCAGCCGCAGCCCGACCATCCGGATTCGAGCGCAGCGGCCGAGAGCCTGCACCACGGCCTGACGATGCTGGCGCTCAACAGCGAAGGGGCCTCGCTGCCGACTTTTGAGCTGCAGCCGGACCTGTCGGGCGAGGCCGAGGCGCTGCGGCGCGCCGAGGCGATCGAGCAGAGCGATGGCGATGCCGTTGCCCCCACAGCCGGGTCGCCAGCTCGCCCGCCCAGTCGCGATCCCCATCGCAGTCGCTTTCGCCCTCGCGCTCAACATCGGCATCCCACAGGTCGCACTCCACCGAAGCCTCGCGTCCGCCCTCGCAGATGGGTTCGGTCCCCGAAGGCCACGCCGTCGCTGGGTGCAACGGCTCGGCGACTTTGCCGCGACCGAGCTCGGACGGCGTTGCCGTGCCCGCCAGTGACGACCAGTTTGCCGACGCTGACGAGGCCAAGGTGGCGCCCGCGGTGCTGAATGCCGATGGGACCGTCGCCGCCGCCGCCGACGACGACGACGACGATGCCGACAGCGACGAGATGTGCGTCAGCTTCCAGGCGCGCAAGAAGTCGAGCCGCATGCTGCACCAGCGCGGCGGCGGCGGCGGCGGCCTCAAGAAAGCCTAGGCAGCTCGGCCTCGCGCCCGCTCTGTTCCTCTGGCCTTGCTGTGCGCCCGCATCTGCCCCACTCCTGCTCAGTCCTCCCGCTCCTGCCCGCTGCATCGTCCCGTCGCTCCATTGCTACTGCGTCTACCTGCTCGTCTGGAACGCTCTCCCACGCTCTCCCGCACACCAGCATACACGACCACGCACACGCACGATTGCACCCACACACACACACACTCACTCTCTTCCCCTGCTACCCTCTTACATCCCGACCGTTGGCTCACACTCACTCTCTCGTTGTCGCACCCGACCCGACGCCACCATTCGCGCTCTATCCTTTGTATTTGTTCGGGATCCGCTAGTCGACTTCGTCTCTCGCCTCTCTACTCGATTCATCGTCTTTTAGCATTCGACCTGTTTGCCTGTGCCGTGCGCAGCGGACCGTTGGCTTGACATGGTGCGGCCGTCCGTCTCTCTGCGCACGCGCAACGGTTCAGACCCACGTCAGGATGGCCGCAGGACGGCGGTCCAACGACGGTGCTGATGTCGTCAAGATTGGACAGGGGTAGCGTGGCTTGGCATGGCATGGCATGGCAAGGGTGGAGAGAGAGAGGGTACAAGTACAAGGTTGCGTGCGTCGTCCCATCTAACGTGGGAGGGGCGCGGGGGGGAGGAGGATCAGCTGAGGTCCATGGCCAATGCCACTTCGTCAATATCTCTGTTCGATCCGCCCAACGACGAGGGCTGGGCCGAGGAAGAGGGCGAGGAGGAGGACGAGATGATTTCCGACCCTGCGCCCAAGGCGTCGATGAAAAGGGGCAGCCTCGTTCCTCCGTCGGCACCTAGCGTCGGTTCCCTCTGCATGGCCGAGGTGAGATGGGACAGGGCAAGACGAGGATGGGTCAGCCGACGGCGGTACACGCACACTCGATGGGGAAAGGGCGCAGCGGTAGGGACATGACTCACGCTGCGGATAGCTTCGAGCTCATCTCCAAACTCTTCAGCGATGCTCTTCATCCAGAGACCCTTGAAGGCCTCCTTTCTCGTCTCGCGCTCCTGCACCTTGCTCGCTTCGATGCGCCTCCGCAGATCCGCTTTGGCCTTTTGACGCCGTTCCACCTCCGAGGTCGTCGACGAGGCGAGGGTATCGGGTGCACGGCGGCGGGCGATGGCTTCCGTCACGCTCGAGGGCAGTACCGGTTTGGGTGGACCGCCGAGACGGAAGAACGGATCGCGCGGACGGCCCGTGGCGGATGTGGACGGGTCCAGGTCGAGGTCCGGGTAGAGGCGTGGAGCTGAGAGGTCTCGCAGTGGTCGGTCGGCGGGTTCCGGTGAGATCGAGTAGGTCACGCGCCGCCTTGTCCCACTCGCACCGATGCTCTCGCTGCCCTTGACTGCGGTGCGAGGTCGAGAGGAAGAGGCGGACGAGGAGGTGCTGCTGCTGCTACTACTGCTGCTGCTGCTGCTGCTGCTGCTGCTGCTGCTGTCGGAGTCACTGTCGCGGTCGTCGCTACTGCTGCTGTCACTGCTGCTGCTGCTGCTGCTCGAAGACGACGAAGATGAAGAGCTGGAGCTAGAATTCGAGTCCGAAATCGACGCCGAATCGTGGAGCTTGACAGCCGGTGCCTTGGCCTCCGCTTCCGATTCATCTTCGCTGCTGCTGTCGCTGCCGGATGAGGAGCTGCTGCTGCTAGACGACGACGACGAGTCCGAGACGGCGGCGGTACGTGTCTTTCTTTGGCGCTTTCTTCGTGGCTTCCCGCCTGCTGTGGCCGCTTTGGGCGGCATCGTAGCGGTCGCAAGAGTGGAAGGTGGTGCGGATGAGAGGGACGACGAGGTGTTGGAGTCCAGGATGCAAGGCGAGGAGCGAGGCGGCTCGAGCAAAACTTCCCGCCCTGGACTGCCAGGCAGGCACCTGCAGCGCAGCCGGAGGAATCCGAATTCCGAGTTGGGCTGTCAGGCTCGGAGCCGAAAGCAGTCACAGGACCCGTCGCCTGTCAAAATGCCCCGATTTCAAGTTTTGACAGCATCGGAGCGTGCCCGATCTTACAAATTCGGAGCCGAGCCTTTTTGTGCCTGTCAGGCTCTGGACGACGTGCGCGCAAGCGTATCCATTTACGCGGGCGGTGGGTGGACGCGTCGAGGTTGCCAACGCGTAAATGGGCGACCAACGGCAGGCAGGCGGGCAGGCAGGGCAGGGCGCCCGAGCTCGGCTGGTGCCTGCTGGCCTGCGTGGCCTGGCCAGGCCTGCCACCTGGGCGCGTGTGAGCAGACGAGAACGGCGGGCGGGCGAACAGCCAACAGAGAGCAGCAGCAGCAGCAGCAGCACAGAGCGCAGCGCCAGAAGAGGGCAGCCGCGCGCACCCCAACCAACATCAACTTCTCCCTCCCTCCTCACCCTCGCCTCGCCCCCTCCAATCTCGTGCGCCGCAGCAGTATCTGTCCCTTGCTTCTTCTCCTCTCTACACGCCACTCCTCTAGACACGACGGAACAGCGGCCGTCCCTACGTACCCTCGCCGCCTTCAGAGGACACCAACGGACACTGTCCGTCCAGACACACAGCCGCAATGGTGAGTTTGCCAGCCAAAGAAGCATGCTCTCGAGCGACGCCGCGCTGACCGTCACCGTCCTCTTCCTCTTCCTCTCTTCTCTGCTCCGCTCTCTTCTTCCGCTGCCTGCCTCTATGCAGTCCAACCGACAGGACCAGATCCGCAAGCGCAGGCGGTCACAATCCGGGAGCCGCCTCCTCTCCGACGATGACCCCTTCAACGCCTCGTCGCCCATGGCAGGTCCCTCGAACGCTCTCACATCCGCACGCTCCTCGCCGCCACCTTCCTCGCTGCCTCCCTCGAGCCCTCCCGGCGGCGCCTTTTCCGACTTCACAGATGGCGAAGCAGAGGCCGAGAGCGTCGTCGACGAGGAGCAGGAAGCTCGCGAGCTCGGAGACGACTTCCAGGCGCATCCGGACTCGGACGACGAGGGCGAGGACCTGTTTGGCGACAACATGGACGCAGACTACGCCGAAAACACCGCGCTGGACCGCTACGACACCACCCTCGACATCGACGACGACGTCGTCGACGACATCGACATGAACGCACGGAGGCTCGCCGAGCTCAAGATGAGCCGCCGCGACCGCATGGAGGCTGTCAGCCGCGGCCAGCGGTCCCGGGCCCCCGAGTTCCTCCAGAGCGACGACGAGAGCGACGATGGCGCCGCCATCATCGGGAGACGGCGCAGGAGGCACTACGACGAGCCGCAGGGCGGTGCTGCCGCCCTGGCCGACGACCTCCCCCTCGAGCAGCTGGGCGACGTCAAGACCGACAGCATCGCCAGCTGGGTGGCCACGGAAAACGTGCGCAGGACCATCATCCGCGAGTTCCGCAACTTCCTCGTCACCTACGTCGACGAGCAGGGCATCAGCGTCTACGGCCAGCGCATCAAGACGCTCGGAGAGACCAACGCCGAGTCGCTCGAGGTATCGTTCCTGCACCTCGTCGACTCCAAGGCGATCCTGGCCTACTTCCTCGCCAACTCGCCCGCCAGCATGCTGCCCATCTTTGACGAGGTCGCCTTCGACGTCATCATGCTCTACTACCCCTCCTACGACCGCATCCACCCCGAGGTTCACGTCCGCATCTCGGACCTGCCCACGTCGTCGACGCTGCGCGACCTCCGCCAGGGCCATCTCAATTCGCTCGTCCGCGTCAGCGGCGTCGTGACCCGCCGCACCGGCGTCTTCCCGCAGCTCAAGTACGTCAAGTTCGACTGCCTCAGCTGCGGCGAGGTGCTGGGCCCATTCTGGCAGGACGCCAACCAGGAGGTCAAGGTGAGCTACTGCTCCAATTGTCAGAAGCGCGGGCCCTTCCGCGTCAACTCGGAGCAGACCGTCTACCGCAACTACCAGAAGATGACGCTCCAGGAGTCGCCCGGCAGCGTTCCGCCGGGACGCCTGCCCCGCCATCGCGAAGTCATCCTGCTGTGGGACCTCATCGACTCGGCCAAGCCGGGCGAGGAAGTCGAGATCACGGGCGTCTACCGCAACAACTTTGACGCCTCGCTCAACACCAAGAACGGCTTCCCCGTCTTTGCCACGGTGCTCGAGGCCAACCACATCGCCCGCCGCGACGACGCCTACGCGGCCTTCCGCCTGACCGAGGAGGACGAGCGGGCCATCAAGATGCTCGCCAAGGACGACCGCATCGGCAAGCGCATCGTCAAGAGCATCGCGCCCAGCATCTACGGTCACGAGGACATCAAGACGGCCCTCGCACTCAGCCTCTTTGGAGGCGTGCCCAAGGACATCGGCGGCAAGCATCGCATCCGCGGCGACATCAACGTGCTGATGCTCGGCGATCCGGGTACCGCCAAGTCGCAGTTCCTCAAGTACGTCGAGAAGACGGCCAGCCGCGCCGTCTTTACCACGGGTCAGGGCGCCTCGGCTGTCGGTCTGACGGCGAGCGTGCGCAAGGACCCCGTGACGCGCGAGTGGACGCTCGAGGGAGGCGCGCTGGTGCTGGCCGACAAGGGCGTCTGCCTCATTGACGAGTTTGACAAGATGAACGATGCCGACCGCACCTCGATCCACGAGGCCATGGAGCAGCAATCCATCTCGATCTCCAAGGCGGGCATCGTCACGACGCTCCAGGCCCGCTGCGCCATCCTCGCCGCCGCCAACCCGATCCGCGGGCGCTACAACCCGACGATCCCCTTTAGCCAGAACGTCGAGCTGACCGAGCCCATCCTGTCGCGCTTCGACGTCCTCTGCGTCGTCAAGGACACGGTCGACCCGGTCAAGGACGAGATGCTGGCGCGCTTCGTCGTCGGCTCCCACCTGCGCTCCCACCCCAAGTTCGAGGAGGAGACCGAGGAGCAGCTCGTGGGCACCTCGCTCGACGCCGACATTATCCCGCAGGAGATGCTCAAGAAGTACATCATGTACGCCCGCGACCACGTCCGGCCGCGCCTCAACGCGCTCGACCAGGACCGGCTGTCGAGGCTGTACGCCGACCTGCGCCGTGAGTCGCTCAGCACGGGCTCGTACCCCATCACGGTCCGACACCTCGAGAGCATGATCCGCATGGCCGAGGCCAGCGCCAAGATGCACCTGCGCGAGTTTGTGCGCAGCGACGACATCGACGTCGCCATCCGCGCCACTGTCGAGAGCTTTGTCAGCGCGCAGAAGATGAGCGTCAAGAAGACGCTCGAGAGGGTGAGTAACCGACCAGACGATCAGGGGGCGGCAGACTGCTGTTGGCGCGTGAGTGCTGACGTATCGCTCGGGTCTCGTTGCCGCCTATCCCCCTTTGCGACCGACTGCAGGGCTTCCGCAAGTACCTCCACCAGGCGCGGGACCACGACGAGCTGCTCTCGTTCCTCATCGGCGGCATCGTCAAGGACCGCATGCGCTATGCGCAGCTCGGCTCGCAACGCCGCCGCACCACTGGGGGCGAAGACGACGAGATGGTCATCACGGTGCCCGTCTCTGAGCTCGAAACACGCGCCAAGGAGGTCGAGGTGTACGACGTCCGTCCGTTCCTCGCCTCCAAGCTCTTTTCGGCCAACGGGTACACCTACAATGCCGCCGAGCGCTCCATCACCAAGCGCTTCGGCAGGGGCGGCGGGAACCGCAGGGCGCCGGGGGCCATGGAGGAGCTTTGAACGCGCCGGGAGCCGTGCTGTCTCTCTCGGTAGCGTCACCCAGGGATCGTTAGGAATCTTGTATTTGTATCTCGTCACGTCTCGGGTCCCATTTTTTTCCGAATGCTCGATCTATTTTGCCAAAGGAGGGAGCCAGAGGACACCCTAGTGAACTCCTCGACGTCGACGACGGCGCGGGCGGCGGAAAAAAATATATGGGCGCGCCACATCGACTCGACTATTCATCCCGACCATCCACTTTCTCCCGACCATCCACTTTCTTTTCCTCTTGAAATTGCTACAGAAAAGGGTCAACATCTGCGGCCACAGAACCATGAAAGCACCACATCCCGTCCGATCTGTGCAATTAAGCATGGTGTCGCTCCGTCAGTACTGCGGTGGGGGACCGCGCGGGAATCCGGGGTGCTGCAGTTTCTCCTCTTTTTGCCTACTCTTTCTTCCTTGCAGCAGACTTCTGGAAACAGATGACGATGCATTGAGCCTAGAGAGGGCCGTGCGATCGTTCAGCGAGACCGTCTCGCCCTGGCCGCATCGACATCGGCGTGGGTGACCGGTCTAGCATCGACCCTCCGTGCCGCTTGCGGGTCGGGACGGTCGGTGCAGGTCGAATACAGGAAGGCGAGCTGGTCCGGAGTGATCCGGGCAAACGGGCCGGAGCAGGAATCGAGGTGGTGCACGGGCCAGTCGATGGGTTTGCAGCGGTAGCGGAAGCAGTCGGACCACGACCACGGTGCGATGGGCAGGTCGCCGCGCTGCCGTCGTACCCGTACCGCCGCCGTCTTGCAGTCGTGCGAGGACGATGACAATGGCGGTGCCAAGGGAGAGTGGACGAGGATCCTGCTCCAATCGTAGTCGAGGGCGCCGTATCCGATCGTGCTCCGTTCCTGGGCGTAGCTGACGACGTGGCTGAACTGTCGCTCGCTCAAGACCATGTCCGTGTCGAGGTGTCGAAGGATCCAGATCTTCATCTCGGGCGGCAGCTCCCAGAAACGCGCCAATGCCGTCGAAGTCGCATCGTGCTCGCCACGCCTCGCGCAGCAACCGAGGGTCCGGACGGCCCGCAAGACGGCTAGTGCGGCCGCTCGAACCCGGTTCGCCTCGTGATGCAACTTGAAGTCGTGCGGCATTCGACAGCCATCGCGGCCAGAGTAGCGTAGATCCTCCAGGCTGACTAGGTGTACGCCTGAATCCATGGCGACGGCGCGTTGATACTCTTCCTCCCACGATTCCGGGTCTCCTCCGGCTGAAGCGATTGCCTGGCGAGCGTACGGCGCGGCGTCATCATCATCTTCGTTGTCGTCCTCGTGATGTTCCCGGGTCGCAGCTTCGCCGAGGGTCGGGTCGCCCTCTAACGTTTCGGTTGTAGGTGGAGGGCCGCCGAGGTTCGCAGCGATGCGGCTCCTTCTTCTCTTGCGATCAGAGATGCGCCTTTCGAGGAAGCCGAGGACGAGTGACTTGGTCTCGGCGGGCGCCGCCTTCAAGAAGGCCCGGAGGGACCCCTCGCCGGCTTGCCGTGGCCGTGTCGCAGCTTCGGAAAACAGCCGATCGCTGTCGTGCAGGCTGAAGGATGCCCAGCCGATGGCGCAGTGCGGCCTCTTCTGACTGCGAGGGATGATCCCGTCCCAGTCGTGCTGGCTCTCTGCCTCTGCGAGACGCTCGAGAGACTCAAGCGGAAGACAGTCCCGCAACGTCCAGATGCTCCCGAACAGGGCTGCGAGGATGATCCGACACCCCTCGAGGCCGAAGTGATTGATGGACAGGTCAAAGAAGCACAGACGCCGGCATTTCGATTCGGGAGAGAGGAAGTCGGCGATGTGACGTGCGAGTGCCACCTCTTCCGCCTCGGTGCCCCAGGCAGTGAGGCGCAGGTGTTCGGTGGCGTTAGGCACGTGCAGCGTGGCGGTGAGATTGAGCTTCTCGAGGCAGCTACCATCTTGCTGGAGACCATCGAGAAGGTTGTGGAAGCTCTTGGGTCGGAGGAAGTTGAGGCTGAGGTCGAGCTCGCAGATGGCCGAAAGGCCGACGGCGCGTGCGAATGCGCCAAAGGCGACGGGGTCTTGGCCGAGTCGGTTACGGCGCAGCTCGAGTGTGCGCAGGCTGTAGCATCGGTCGACGAAGCGAGCCAGGCTGGCGAGGCAGGAGTCGTCAAGGAGGCATTGCCCAAGAGCAAGGTAGCGCAGCTCGCTGAAGTCTGGCACGACGTTGGGCGAAGGTGGTGAGACGCGGGAAGAGATGGCGGCAACGTGGCGCGCTCTCTGCCAGAGCCTTTCGACGTGCGACGAGCCTGGCGACGACGACGAGAGCGGCGAGGGAGATGCTTGGGCGTCGAGTGCGACCTGCGCTCGGGCAACGTCGGCAAGGATGTCGGCGAAGGCGTTCCAGGTGCGTTGACATATCCCTGTGCATTCGAGGACGAGCTCTGCCAGGGATTGATCCGGATGCGATTTCGAGCTGCGCAGGAAGTCGTTGAGCTGGTCGATGTCCTTTGGAGGCTGGAAGAGGGTGTTGCAGTCGATGCTCGAACGGGAGATGTGCCTCTTGGTCGGCTGTGGGGCCGGCTGTCCTCTGGAGGTTGGCTCGTTGGCGGGCATGATAGGATGATGGTGGCAGCCCATAGAGGGCGGCACGCTGCCGTGCAGCAGTCTTATACGCTCACATGGCCTTGTCTGGTCTGGTTCGCGCTGACGGTGAAAGAGATCCGACGAGCTGCAGCATGGCGGTAGGTGGTGGTGCCGAAGAAAGGAGAGGGGTGCAGGCTTGGCTGGTGAGGGGTTGGGGGCCTGACCATGCGTGGCTGGCTGCGTGCACCGTGCGAGGCAGGCAGTCAAGCAAGCTGGGCCGGGCCCAGGCGCCGCGTTGGACCCTGCATTTTGCACCCTGCCTCAATCCCCTGGCGGCCCCTCGTTGGCCAACTGACCCCGCCGCCACCGCAACTGCCACCACCATCCCCTCGCCAATCCGACACTCAGGCACTCGCTGCACGCACTACTCACGCTCGACATGCGTCTGCTCGCGCTCCACACTGCACTCGTCGTGCTCCTCTGCCACCTCTCTGCAGTCCGCAGCTGGGGACTCGCAGGCCACCAGATCGTAGCCACCATCGCACAGACGCAGCTCCACCCGCTCGTACGCCAGCACCTCTGCTCCATCCTCCCCAACTTCACCCAGTACCCTTCCATCTGGCCCTCCTCCCCGCAGGGGCGTCCCAACACGCACTGCCACCTCGCAGTGCTGGCGGGATGGCCCGACAACGTGCGCTTCCGCCTCCCCTGGAGTTCCAAGCTGCACTATGTCAACCCTACCGACGACCACCCGCCGCAGCACTGCACCTATGGCGAGGCCGGCTGGACCTCGGACGACAACATCCTTCACGCCATGGTCAATTACACTCAGCGCCTCACCACCGAGACCGGCTACGAGCGCGACCTCGCCCTCCGCTTCCTCGTCCACTTCTTCGGAGATGCTCACCAGCCGCTCCATCTCACCGGCCGCGCCAGGGGCGGCAACGACATCTGGGTCCATTTCGAGGGCAGAAAGAGCAAGCTCCACTCGGTCTGGGACGGCCTTCTCCTCAACAAGCAGGTTCGCCAACTGGCAAACTACACGTCCAGGCTCCCTTCGCCGCGCATCGAGAGCGGCCTCCGCGGCGACGTCTACGACCCCTATATCCGCTGGATCCTCAAGGAAGGTCTCGGGCAGCCCGCCATCAAGGGCCAAGAGCCGCTCGGCTGGTTCACCAATGAAGCGCCAGAGTGGCCCAGCTGCGGCACCGAAGCCGGCAGAGGCCTCGTCGTCCAGCAGACCGGCCAATCGGTCTTCAACGACCAGGACCCATCGGCCGTCGATGACACCGACCTGCCCATCTGCCCCTACTACTGGACCAAGCCGATGCACCCGCTCGTGTGCGAGTACGCATTTGCCCACCCGGTGCCAGAGTGGGAACCGCCGTCTGACGATCTCGAAGGCGGCGTGCCGGAGCATCCGCCGTCGCCGCCTCCGCCGCGCCTACCGCTGCCTGAGCTCGACACGCCCGAGTACCTGGGGCGCATCGACGCTGACAAGGTCATCCAGCGCCAGCTGGCAAAGGCCGGCGTGAGGCTCGCTGCCGTGCTCAACACGCTCCTCCTCGACGAGGCGACTCGAGCTGTTGGAGGCATCATGCCGGTCGACTGGCTTGACGAGGGCCGCTCGTGATGTGCCGCGATCCCTGGATCACCATCATCGATGTGCGATGGCAATGTGAAATCTGGTGACTCGTGTGCTTGCATTCGCCCCGCGCTAGACGACCTCTACAATCCTGACCTCCCGATCCCTCTTGAGCTCCGCCTCTACCCTCTCGCTGAGCTCCTTGACCCTGAGCAGGCCGGCCTTGAGGGTCTCCAGCAGCTTGTCGGCGTCGAGCGGAGCACCGCCGGCCTTATCCAGCACGCAGATTTCGCGCTGGGCGTTGAGGACGAGGACGAGCTTGCTATCGCACAGCGTCTCCTCGAGCTGGCTCGGATCCAAGAGCGCCACCGTCCTGTCGGCGCTCGCCGCTATCGTCGCTGCATTCGACGAGGGCTTGGGCCGGGAAGTGGGGTCGTCGGCCTCGTCCCGGGACGGCGCAAGGGCGTCCTGCTCCTCCTCGTCCCTCTCCTCTTCCCGCCTCACGTCATCGTCGTCGTAGTGCTCGTCCATCTTTGCCTCCTGACTCTGGATCTCAAAGATGGCGAAGCTCACGCAGAGCGGCGTGTGGTGGATGGCGAGGGGGACGCCGACCCTCTCGTCCTCGCCGTACAGCGTGACCTTGCCGTCCTCGATGGTGAAATCCGGCCGACGGAAGTGGCGTAGCGAGAGCATGGAGCAGAGCACGGCGGCGTCGAGCGCGGCGCCGCAGTCGGACAGGAGGTGGATGGTGAGGTGGATCTGGAAGACCTGCTCGCCCGCTATCACGCAGAGCGACTCGCGGTCCAGCGCCTCGGTGCGCCGGATGGCCTTTTCGAGAAGGCGGTCAAAGAGGATCTCGCGGTTGCGCGCCGACGATGTGGCGCCGCCCGACGTGTCGTACTCGGTGCCCGCCATTGGTGAGATGTCCGTGGTCAGTTGTAGGAAGCCCTCGTATGGCCGGTCTGACCGCGGCGGCACTAGCGTGGCTCGAACCGACGTCTGGACTCTGTGGCAGAATGGAAAGGATGGATACAGTGTCAGCCCGCTTCAGGTCCCATGCGCAGCTCTTCAAACAGAGAGAGCGAGAGAGATGGACGGCGGCGGGTCTGCCATCGGTGCCGCTGATCTGGTGCTGCAACTCACCTTGTCCCCTGGATGGCAACCGAACAGCTGCCAAGTTCCTCGCCAAACTTGATCGAGATGTCGCGCGACTGGTTGAAGGACCTGCCATCGGTGCGGAGGCCGCTGGCTAGTGCGGCCGCGACGAACGTCGACTCGGTCAACGACGGTTCGAGCAGCTGACCGGGCGGCATCTTGTCGTCGTTCTATTCGAGGTCGTGCCGGAGAATGAAGGACGATGCGAGAGCAGCTGGACAGCGGCGTGGGAGGATGAGGGCTCAAACGTCTGTCGAGATCGTGTGGTCGGTGCGGCGGGATTCGGCTGGAGAGGACGATGATGCGGGAGGGCAACGAGGTTGGGCGGAGAGGGCGAGGAGGCTGGCAACCAGGGCCACCAAAGGCCCGACCCTTCTCGCCAGTCCAAAAATCTCGTCGGCGGAAAAGTGGAGTCGTCGGTTCCGAAGGCCGCGCCCCGCCGAGTAGGAGGACGGCAGGCGGCCGCCTCCTTCCACCTTGACCCCTCGCTCCCTCCCTGCCCTCCCTGCCCTCCCCTTCCCTCGTCTCTTTCCTGCCCTCTTGATGATATCGCGTCGACTCCATGCCACAGAGAACAGACCGTATGCCGAGCCATGAACTGCTTCGCTCACAGACGACGACCCTGTTGTGCCCGTGCTGTGACGGCCCAACGACGGCCGCGACGCTGCCTCGGCTTCTCTCGGACGCCTTGTAAGCTTGTCTGTCGGCTGCGAGCCCTGTTCGGCCCGGTCGATCTTCGTCTGCAATGGCTTGAATCGCGGTCGACGGTCTGCCAAGGCCTGACATGGCTCACGTGGTGAGAGTAGAGTCGCTTCATCTGCTTGTTTTAAGGCTGCGTTGAACTGCGATGACAGCGACGCTCCGACTCTCCCGAGAGGACCTGGCAAGCTCAGCGATGGTAGTTGTCGCCAGAGAAGCGCCCGGCATCGTAACAATCGTCGCCATGACGACGACAACGACGGCAACGGCGAGCCTTATCAACGACGGGCTTGGCGATGTGCGGCGTGTGATTCGCTCGAGATAGCAAAAGTCGATGTCTTCGCCCTTTGCCATGGGACGCGAACGACGCCCGATAAGAGCAGACTGGGTCGGTCGTGGCAGATAGAAGAGAGGCCGGTGCGGAGGGGGGACAGGCGGGGGCGGCTCGGATGGCATGGGCGCCAGCTGCTGCGCCCGCGACGAGGGGCAGAGGCGCGGGGACGGCCATCTCTAGCTCCCCTTATCTCTTATCTTTCGGCATGGCCCGACGTCGCAGGCGAGAGGCGGGAAAGTCCAGACAGCGGGGCAGGCCGTTCGAGATACGGTGGTACCCTACGGCATCGAGGCCTGTTCACGACCAGCTGCGACCTTTCGCCCCCCCGCTCGCCATCATCCTACTCTGCCTCAGCATGCACGCTGCTTCGAGATATCCAGCTGATCATGGCGGCCATTCGATCTCGCTACCCGGGCAGGGCCAGGCCAAGGACCTGACGCCACAGTAACCAGCATGCTCCGCTGGACCAACCGAGCCAGCGCCAGCGACCTCGTGTCTACGGTCGCTGCTTGAATCGCTTCTCAGGCACCATCTCGGGACAGCAGCATGGATCTGAGAGGCGGATAGCGCCGGCTGCGCACAGATAGAGCGTGATCTGAGCGGGTCGAGGGAATGGTACGCACGACGGCGTCGGCGTGCTCCGCCCTGTTGGTCCGGAACGACACGGAGGGGGTTGCCATGAAGGCGAGGAGCCTGCCAGCCAGCCGATTTGTGGTGGACGCTCGCACGTCCACCGACCCGCCTGCTGCACTTCATCTTCGCCAGGCCGAGGTTGACTGCAGCCAGCGTCCTGAGCGCGGGGCGACCTGCGCGATCGACCCACTAAGACTCTCTCTGGACGAGTTCAGTTTGTGGGGTCGATCTGGCGGCACGCCCCACAAGCAGCATGCCGACTAGGACCAGCCTGTCGAGCAGGGACCGAGCCGCTCGACTTCAGAAGCGGTCTTGGCACCGCTCGCTGTTCAGAAACAGATAGAGGCACAGGGGGCGGGCCGGCAGGGAAGAGCGCATGGCCTGGCCAGAGGGGCAGGCAGGCAGGCAGGCTGAGGGCAAGGCCGGCTGGGCCAGCCAGCAACAAGCACGAGGAAGAGGCGCGAGACCTCGTAATTCTGCTTGGGGGGGTTGCTTGGCGTGGACAGCTCCCCGCTGCCGAGCTCGTGCTTCCTCGCCCGCCTTTGACCTGCCGCCTGAGAGCCTTATCTTCGACTCTCCACCCCGTCGCAGCTGGTCGCCAAGCCTAACTTCGCTCGCCGCCATCGCACCCCCACTAACTACTGCGCCATCATCATCAGCCCACCATTCAACGGTCGATCTTTTCTGTCAACCACCACCACTATTTCTGCCTGGTCATCTCTCGCCACTCTGATCCCAACACCATCAGCTTCCCGACCGACATTCCTCACCAAGCCGGGACCGCCACCGACGCAGACCGGCTCATCCGCTAGCCAGCACCTTGCCATTCAGCCCGACTCGGAACTGCTCCGACAACTCTCGTGCTACGGCACCGCCACTGCAAGGCTGATTTGAAACCTCGTCGCTCGATTCGTCGTTCGCCATGCCGCTTGGCTTCGGACACCACTCGCAGCGGGAGAACACCGGCGACGAGCGAGGTCGCGACCCCTTTATCGCCACGGGACGAGGCGGCGCAGGCAACGTGAGTAGTAGCAGCAGCAGCACTGCCCCACTCGATGATTGGGGAGAGGGTGCGGATTGGCCGGGTCGCGAGCGCCGCCGCTGACAACCAACCGACACTCTGTCCTGCGCCCTCTCAGATCATCCGATCTCCCTCGCGCTCGCGCGACCGCGGGGCCAACGAGATCCCCGCCGCTACCGCCGCTCACGCCCAGGCACCTCACATCACCCACAGCGGACGTGGTGGAGCAGGCAACGTGCGATCGCCTTCGCGCGACCCGCTCGACCGCAAGAGGGCAGAGGAGGCCCAGGCGCGCGAGGAGAAGCTCCAGGAAGACTACCGCCAGCAGGAGAAGAAGGTCCCGCACTCGACCGGCCGAGGAGGCGCAGGCAACATCGCATCGACCGATTCGGAGGCCGAGCGCGGCCGTGGCCGCAACGGTGCCGCTGGTCCAGAGGTCGGAGGCGTCCGCGGCGTAAGTAGTCCGATGATCGAGGGGCTGCAGCATCGAGGCGGGCAAGACGAGGCCGGGTCGTAAGGCGGACCGAGCGCAATGGCTGGCGGTCCCCTTGTTGCGATGGCCGCTGAATGGCGCACGTCTGCCCCCTGCTCGCTCCTCTTCTTCGCAGGCGCAGGCGCAGGCGTGAAGAGGTCCATGGATCATCCACCGGCTGACTTTAATTGGATTTTGACGTGTACGGTCCCCTTGATCTTCCCTCCCATGCCCCTTTTCAGATGCTGCGGTCCCTCTCTCGATCTCGATCGCGCGAACCTCGTGCCAACGGCAACGACTCGCCGAATCGGAGCGGATCTCGGGTGCGAGCCTCGGAAGGAAGCAGGCTCGCCCAGGTCGACGAGACGCCGCGGAGCTCGGCCGAGGAGGACACGCTGCACGACAGGCAGACCTACGAACGGCCCAACGGCGCAGGCGTGGCGCACAGGCCGGCCGCCGAGACCGAGCAGCCACCCAAACCGGGCTTTGTCGAGCGGCTGGCCAGTCATCTACCGGGTCGCTGATGACGGTGGCGAGGCCGGTCGGCGTGGGCGCACGGGGTCTGTGCCTCGTCTCTGGTCGTGACCGGCCCCTGCGGGTAACGACGACGAGGGATGCTCCCTTGCCTGCCCACTCTGGTCGCGCCGTGACGCATTCGACCGCCTTTGCCCCTGCCAGCCCCGTACCCCGGCCCCCCGTATCTCGTCCCTGTCCACCGCTCAACCACCTGTCTCGCGCCCTGGTTTGCCCTGCTCGCGAGGGACCATTTTGTTATCAGATAGCTCGGCCCTCTTCCGTCGTTGCTACTCGTCTCTCTTCTCCGTTCTTTCCTTTTCTCGCCGCATCCACGAATACCAAGCCTGACTGTCTGTTACCCAGGTAGCGAAGAGGGGCAGACAGTTGGCGGTCTGGGCTGAACGGCGCCTTCCTCTGGCCTGCCAGCCGACGCCTCCCGACACGACCAGCAGCGTGGCAGGCCTGCCTGGCCAGGTGGAGGGCGAGGCTGCAAAGTCGAGTCGCGGCTGAGGTAAAAACCGACCCGAGGCGGCTGGGTCGTCTCGACGGGTCCGGGCCCTACCACTACTCCATCAACCACCACCGACACCATCTCCGCAAGTCACCACACACCCGCAAACCGAACAAGCGCGGCTAGACGGACGAACGCTTCTTCCTCTTCCTGTCTCTCTCCTTTTGTGTCGTCTGCTCGGCTGGACACATCCCTGGAGACACGAGGAAGGCAGCAGCATCTCATCGCCCCGGCTGCGGAACACTCGCCATCGTGCCGCCCCGTCAGATCAGGATGGCGTCGCTTCTCAGTCCGACAGCAAGATCGTTGCCCAGCGGACTGGCGAGGTGCTTTGTCGATGCGGCAACGAAGTCCGCTCTCAGAGGCGGCGGTCCGGTTGCTGCGCCAGCATACGCCGCTCGGCCCTTTTCAATAGGCCTCGGTCCCGCTCCGATACGAACATCGAAGCCTACCAGCGCCGTCGCGCATCAGCTGGCTCCTCCTTCACCTCGGTTTGCGACGGTCAGGAGTCATTCGACCATTCGTAGCGCCGTGGACATGCTGGATGTGCACTCGCGTGCCGCGCCAGGCGCGGGCAAACCGTCTCCTTCGGCCCTTTCGGCAGGTCAGCCGACCTTGCTCTCCTCCCTCGGGCTCGCCACGTTCCCTTCGTTCCTCCTCAACCGCATCAGCCGGGGCGGCTCGCCATTCCGAAATCGCCCACCACCGTCGACCAGCAGCAGCTATGGCGGCGGCGGGTACGGCGGAAGTCCCCGCCCGCCGCGTCGCAGCTCGTCGACGCCGGCCTTTCTCGCGCCCCTGATCCTGCGCATCAACCGCATGCCCTCGTCGTACCTGCTCAACGCCGTCATTGCGCTCAACGCGCTCGTCTTCCTCGCGTGGATGTACGCCGACTCGTCCTTGCGGCGGTACAGCGACCCGCGCGCCCTCCTCTTCATGATGAAGAACTTTGCCTGCGGCGAAACCAACCTCGCCGAAGGACGCTGGTGGACCCTCGTGACGAGCTGCTTCAGCCACCAGATGACGAACCACTTCCTCCTCAACATGGTCAGCCTCTTCTTCATGGCGGAACCCGTCATGCTCGTCGCGGGCAACGCCACCTTCCTCGCCCTCTACTTGAGCGCCGGGCTCGCCAGCGCCACGTTCTCGCTCCTGTGGCACCGCTTTGCCGATCCCTGGTTCAACCGCGGTGGCAGGGGCACCAAGGGCACCTCGCTGGGCGCCAGCGGTGAGTGCAGAAGCCGTCGACCCTGCAATCTCAATGGACCGAGGCGCAGACATGCTGACCCGTCTGCCAACCTCGACCCTCCCCTCCTCCCCATTCCTTCGCCAACGTCTCTCCGGGGCCTCGCCTCGGCACAGGCTCCATCTACGCCATCATGAGCACCTTTGCGTGCATCCAGCCGCGCGCCACGTTCCTCCTCTTCTTTGTCGTGCCCGTACCGGCGTGGCTGTGCGTCTCGGGCATCTTTGCCTATGACCTCTACCAGGCCGCCATCACGCCCGGCGGACAGGTCGACGGCGCCGGCCACGTCGGCGGCATCCTCTCTGGCCTGCTATTCTGGAGGTTCGGGTTGAGAGGGTTCAGGATGTAGACGCCGCCGTGCAGCCAGAACCGCTGGCCAGACGAAGAAACCCAGAGTGATGTCGAGTCGTCGACATGCAGAGGACGAGGTCAGGACAGCATGCAACGAGGGTCAGACGAGGACCGTCATCCGGAGAGGGCGAGCCGGCTCGTCGGGATTGCAAGCCTGCCGCGGCCAGGATGGAGGCGAATAAAGAAACCCGTCACAGGTGCGAGCGCTAGCGTCTGGTATTGACTGTCTGGCTGGCTGGCGGCCCAGCTCCGGTCGTGCGGGGCTGGACACTGGGCTCGCCGTCTACTGGCTGAGGATCTGTCGGACGAACGACTCGTAGTGGATGTTGCCGTCCCTGGAGTGACAAAGTTTGGGCACCGTGGGGAGGCCAGAAGGGTCAGTCGAGGTTGCGCGGCTACAGGCCTCGGCCGTCCAGAGGGGTCGGTCAGCACTTACGGTCCGACCTGAACGCCCTTGAGGAGCTCGTCGACCTCTTCGTCGCTCAGCTTCTCGCCGAGGCTGGTGAGGACGTATCTGAGCTCTCCGGCGCCGATGTATCCGTTTCCCTCCTTGTCAAACACCTGGAAGCCGCGGATGAACTCGTCGGGCGTTCCCGCGGGCTTGAAGCCGTTGGGGCGATGGAGGATATTGAGGAACGAGTCAAAGTCGATCTCCTTGGGCGCGGCGTTGGCCAGGTCGGCCACCTCGGCCTGCGTCGGATTCTGGCCGAGCGCCCGCAGCAGGTCGCCCAGCGACTCGCGCGCGACGTGGCCCGTTCCCTTCTTGTCGAACAGGGCAAATGCCTCCTTGTACTCGGCGTCGGACTAATGTGGGAGAGGGCGGACATAGCGAAGGAGGCAAGGCGGGGCAGAGGCGGGAACAGAAGCGGAAGTCGGGCCCAGGGTCAGTGGTGGGATTATGATGCGGGCAACCGGACGAGAAGACCGTCTGCCTGGCCTCGACTCACCATCGTTATAGGGTCGTTAAGGAGGCGAGGGGCGAGCCGGAGAGTAGGTGGTTTCGGGACGGGGTAGGAGAAGGGTGCGGGTGCGGGCAGTGCGATGGTGATGATGGTGTTGATGGTGGCGTGGACCGGGAGCGGGAGCGGGGAGCTGCGTGCGGGCGTGGTGTGACTTTTGGGCTGGGGGCGGCGTGAGCGAGCACAACGAGAGACCAACACACGCCGCCCTCAATCGGGCGCGCGCCCCTCGCCAGCCCGGGCAGGTCCAAGCCCATGGGCCTGGCCTGTGCCAGGCGGCGCGAGGCTGGCGCACCCCCTGTCTCAGGGCGGGCTCAGGGGCCGAGCCAGGCGAGGAGTGGCCGGCAGCCCGGGCTTTGCCTGCCTGCTGGCTTGGCCAGGCCTTACTCGGAATTCGGCGACTGGAACCACCGCTCATCTAAATTTTCTCGGACGAGAAAAACGGCCGGCGGAGGCCAGGCGGGCAGGTCAGGGTCCCGCTGGTGATCAGACCCCGCATAAAGCATGACGGCATGGCACCGGCTGCTGCATGCAGCGCCCCTCCGCCGTTGCTTGCTTGCCTGCTTGCTTGCTTGCTTGTCTGGCCGCGCGTGGCCGGCTGCTGAATTTGGGAGACCGAAGATCGGAAGGTGTCGCCGCGCCGGCTGCTGGTCTGGACCCTGAGATCTGCTGGCGGCGGTGAGCGAGGTGGTGACGGCCAGCCGGGTGGCATCCTGGCCCACGTCTTGCTCGCCGGTCGACGTCGAGGCAGGCTCGGACGACGTTGGGAGCCGTGGGGGCGAGGTGATGCCTCGGGAGGCCAGGCCACCGTGCGTGTGCTTGGCCAAGGGCGAAGTCACATACCTTGGGCCAGGCAGCAGGTCAGCAGGGTCGAAGGCAGACCTTGTCGCGGCCCGTCGCTCAAGCTTTGAGCAGGCCGGGATGCTCCGGACGGTGACTTTGCGCTCATTCACGCGAGCTTCTCGGCCGGCCCGCTCCGGGAAGCGAAGGGAAGGCAGGGCTGCAGCTTGCGCCCAATCGGCGGCCAGAGCCATCCGACAACGCCCACCCACAGCGAGGAGAGGGACCGGGCGATGAACGAGCGAGCAGGTGGTGGTTGGGGTCCAGTTCGCGCGTCCTAGAAGAGGCAGGCCGCAGCTGCTGCTGGTTGCGACTTTCGCATGACGACGGTCCGCCAACCTGGCCCACGAACCAACCGCACCCGGCCGCATTCCACCCTTGCAGCCAAAGGGGCAGCCCAGGAAGAAATTCGCCGCCGCGCCTTTTGTCCCGACTCTTGTGCTTCTTCCGCTCTGCTGCTTCTTCTCAATTCTAGGCCGTGGCAAGGTGTCCGCTCCTCGCCAGGACCACCGTAAGGCCAGGCTAGGCTAGGTTGGGAAGCAAGGGCCTCTCCCGAAACGGCCAGAGTGTAGCGCGGGCGAGCGTATCCCTTTGGTCATCAACACGATGGGGCATGCCGTCGGAGGTTCTAGAGCCAGAAAGAGCGAGGGAACGTGCCAAGTCGAGTGGAATCGAGGCAGGCCGAGTGGGGGGGCTGGCAGGCCAGAACAGGCAGCCAGGCAGCCAGGCAGGGCCCGCCGCTGCTCGTTGTCGGAAGCTCCGCCGGTCGCTGCTTGCGGGCCCGGCCGAGGGGAGGGTCCAGGATCGGCAGAGAGAGAGAGGGCGCGGAAGCAGGCCGACAGCGGGCCCAGGTCGAGCCAGCCAGGGTCTTGGCTCCCACGACGGAAGCAGGCAGGCTGGCGAGGCGAGGGTGACTGACCTGCCCAGCCTGCCGTCGACGTACGGTCTGACCATGCTGCTGCTGCTGCAACCTCGCAGACGACCAGCAGCTTCGCTGCGATTCCCCACCAACCTGCTGACCTCTTCTGGCCTGCTCCGGAAGTCATCCACCTTCGTCGTCGCCCGACTCCTCCTCACCCTCTCACCCTCACCCTCGTCCGTCCCGGTCCACTCAGCCCTACCTGCTCCAGCTACCGCCGAGGCCAGGATCACGATCAAAGTCCCCTCGCTCGCTCCATACGGCTAGACGGACAGCCCTTCCCCAACCCACCGACTCACAGGATGCGTCGCGACTCGGCCTCGTCCAACGGCAAGCCATCGGTGCTGCGAAGGCTCAGCACCCTCGTCGGGCCTCATGGCCACTCGCGTTCTAGCTCCCAGTCGCAAGCCAATTCGCAAGCCCACCACCGGGATCCCGTCTCGCCAAAGGCAAAGGCCGTCTGGCTCGACTGCGACCCGGGCCACGACGATGCCATCGCGCTGCTGATGGCGCTCCACCATCCCGACCTCAACCTGCTCGGCGTATCCACCGTGGCCGGCAACGCGGGCGGTAAGGACACGTTCCTCAACGCTGTCAAGCTCATGGCCGCCTACAGGGCATCGCCGGACATCCCCGTCATTCGCGGCTCCGACTCGCCCCTGGTCAGGCAGGTCAAGGTCGACGTCGGCATCCACGGAGCCGATGGCCTCGGCGGTGTTCAGGGCCTCCCTCCGCTCAGCTCGCCCCTCTGCCAGCCTTGGCTCTTCCCTTCCTACCCGAAAACGAGCTCCCCCACCAATGCACCCGAGCCTTCCCTCTTCCTCTACACGCTCTCGACCATCATCACCGAAAGGCTAAGCAGCGGAAAGTCGCCGATCCACCTGGCTGTCACCGGGCCCATGACCAACGTCGCCCTCTTCCTCAAGTGCTACCCGCATCTGATCAAGGGCATCGCACAGATTGTCCTCATGGGAGGAGCCGCGGGCGTGCGCGGCAACCGTGGCGCACTTGCTGGTGAGTGCCAGTCCTGGTCTCTCATCCGTTTGACGCCAACGTGGCACACCCCTGACAGACACCCTCCGCATCGAACTCCTTCTGCACGCCTCGCAGAGTTCAACATCCTGAATGACCCCGAGGCCGCCTCGATCGTCTTCAACACCGACATCAAGGTCGTCATGGCCGGCCTCAATGTTACGCACCAGGCCATCTTCACAGCGGAACTTCACGATCGCCTGCTCCGGACCCGCATCGTCTCTCCCAGCTCCTCGCGAAGGCAGTCGAAGCTGCTCAGCTCGTCGGGCCGCTCGTCCCCCACCAACGCGTCGCCCCTGGCCTCGCCGGCAGGCGCGCCTCTGAGCCTCAGCGTCTCGCCCTCGAGCGGACCCAGCGACCTCAAGAGGATGCTCAGCTCGACGCTCACCTTCTTTGCCAAGACCTACGCGTCCGAGTTCGGCTTCGGCCGAGGGCCCCCGGTGCACGACATGCTTGCGATCGCCTACATCATCGATCCCACCGTGTTTCACCGCCGTGTGCCTTCGCCCGGAGACGTCCCGAACCACTCGATGTTTGATGCGGACCCGCATGCCAACAAGGACCTCTACCACGACGCCGCGCAGCAGCCAAACGCGGAGATCCCCAACGCCCTCGGCTTCCACGCCGGCTCGCCCACCGCCGCGACGGGGCCGGCAGGAACCGAGGCCGCGCCGAAAACGACGGTGAGCGGGCCGAGCAGCGACGGATCGGATCGCGCCAACAGCCCCGAACTCTCGCGGAAAGCCTCGTCCAAGGGGGGCACGAGCCCGACCACCGCACCCGCTCTGCCGTTCGGGTCCAGTTCGCAGGCGCCCAAGCGCTACCGCGTCGACGTCGAGTGCAACGACGGCCTCGCCCTCGGCGCGACGGTCGTCGACTTCTGGGGCGACCGTGTCGAGCACGACGGGTGGGGGCGGGGCGGCAGGAACGTCGAGGTGCTCGAAAACCTCGACTGCCCGCGGCTGTGGGACATGTTTTTCGAAGTCGTCGAGAGGGCCGAGGCGCACATTGGCGCCTGCATCGTGCGCGAAGGGATCGAGGGCCTCTCGACGTCGTCGTCATCGTCGACGGCGGCGGCGGCGACGGCGGCGGCGGCCAACGACCGGAACGAGAAGGTCGCTGCGGCCCTCGCCAACGGACAGGGGCAGCAGACCAGAGGCGAACCGCCGCAGCAGCTCAACGGAAACGCTTTTTTCGCGCCGCGAGCTGCGCCGGCGCACGAGGCAGAGACGCCGACGGCCATGGCGGCCTAAGTAGATTGCAGCCGTGGCCGCCGTGGGGGACTTGCTCGACTACTACATTGCGCTGTACCTACGGATACATCGGGGCTTCTTTCTCGGCCAGGAGACGCCGGCGTGGCCCGGCCTGGACTATAGGAGACGAAAGCGATACCACGACAACTGAGAAAACGAGGGAGCGTCAGGCCCACCGTCATTTGGATGCCGGTAAGAGCAGGTTGCACGACCTGCAAGCTGGTGGTATTCAGGGCAGGGAATGCGGGCAGCGTAGCGTCGGGTAAGCAGTACAAGAGGCGGAGCAAAGTTGCGGGCGAGAGA